TATTAGCCAATTCTTGATCCAGGGTAATGTACCACTCCCAAAGCCATGAGCTCTTATCTTGTGAAGCACCGTTTTTTGTAGCGCCTTATCAGATGCCTTTTCATAACTTGTACAGTACATCTACAGGTTTCCCTTTATCTTGAATAATGGTGTTACATATGTAGTTTTTCAATCCTCTAGGACCTTTCCAGAATCTGTGAAATTTTGAAAGATTACAACCAAGGTATCTATAATCATGTAGTCGCTTTTGTTAAGTCTCTCGGATATAGGCCATCAGGTCCAAGGCACATTGGCTGTCTTTAGTCCCATTAGTTTATCAAGTTCTTGTATCTGTTGTGATTATTACTGTTTTAAACTTTTCCTTCCTATTTGTCTATTGTTCTTCTATTCTTGGGATGCTTTTGTGTCTTCTCCCACAAAGGCAGATATAAAAATACCTTATCGAAGTCTAATGTTATGGCATGGATAAGATGAATAGCCAAGGTCTTTTCCTCAGGCTAGGGAGTCTAAAACTAGACGGCAGAGGTTTAAGCTGAGAGGGTAAAGATTTAAGAGAGACCAGAGGGGCAACTTTTTCACGCAGAGTGGTGAGCGTATGGAATGAGCTGCAAGAGGAAGTGGTGGAGGCAGATACAATTGCAACATTTAAAAGGCATCTGGATGGGTGCATAAATAGTAAGGGTTTAGGGGGATATGGGCCAAATGCTGGCAGATGGAACGGGATCAGTTTAGGATGTCTGGTCAACATGGATTAGTTGGACTGAAGGGTCTGTTTCCATGCTATATAATGCTATGACTCTACAGCTGAGGCCCTACCACAGATTTTTGTGGGACAGCAAACTTTCTGTCGTCATACAATCAATTTGCCAGCCATATCAGTAATTTACCCTCAATTGCACTGGGTCTCTACATTAATTTACAGTCTCTTATGTGGGTCTTTATCATATGCCTCCTGAAAGCATGAAACAACAGCCACAGGAACTGCTGTGTTCACTACCATAATCATTTCTTTAAAAAAATTCAATGTGGTTTAAGTTAGACCTACCTGTCATGAATCCATGCTGGCTCTCCCTGATTAACTGAAGCTTTGAGGTGTTCAGTTATCCTATCCTTCATTATAGATGCAAACAATTTCCTCAACTTGTTAGGCTAACTGTATTGTAATACCCTGGTTTTCCTCCTTTGCCTTTTTAAAAAGTGGAATGATGTGCAATTTTCCAAGCCAAAGGCATGACTCCTATATGTAAGTTTATAGTTAGGGCATCTAGAATGTGCTCCCCTAATTCTTTAACACCCTCAGACGGCTACTGTCAGATCCTGGGAATTTGTCATTCTTTAGTTTTACTAATTTAGTTCTATAAATTCTAATGATGACCATCCATTGTTGGATTGTTGGAAAAACCTATCTGATTCGCTAATGTCCTTTAGGGAAGGAAACTGCCATCCTTATTAATCTGGCCTACATGCGACTCCAGACCCACAGCAATGTGGTTGACTCTGAACTGCCTTCTGGCAATTAAGGATGGTCAATAAATGCTGGCCTAGCCAGTGACACCCATATCCTGTACATGTATATTAAAAAAAAAATTCTCATTGTCAATGTATGTTAATTTCATTCAGTCCCTGTCCCCAACCTACTACTAATTTCCTTGGGACTTCCAACAACTTATCCTCCTCTTTTACTGTAAAATCTAAGACAAGGTAATTGTTCAACATGATTGCCATTTCCCTATAGTCATTGACAATGTCCCCACATTTAATCTTTCGTGGACCAACATTGCTCTGACCACCAGCTTTCCCTTGAACTATAAAATTTCTTCTTATTGATTTTGATGTCTCTTACAAGTTCCCTTTCATAATCCCTTTTAGCAGCTCTTATAAGCTGCTTAGTGGCCATTGCTGGTCTTTGTATCAATCCCATGCAGCAGGCTCTGTGCTTTATTTTTGCGTTTTTGTAGGCACTTTCTTTTCTTTTAGTTTAATGCTGTGCCTCATCTCTTAATTTCTGCATTAATAAATCTAGCACTTCAGAGGTGCTGCCAGAGGGTGTACATACAACATGTATTAAATTTTTGGATCCTTTACTATTCCTCAGCTCAACCCATAAGGTTGCCAGTGGGTGCCTTCCCTTCATTATATCCTCCCTCACTGCTGACTTTGTTTCTAATCAGTAAGGCTGCTCCACTTCGTCTGCCATTTTCCCTATCCATTCTGTAAACCTTATAACCTGGTATATTTAGTTCCCAGTCCTGACCATTCTGCAGCCATGTCTAAGGACGATATCATAATCTCTAATTTGAATTTATGACTGCAGCTCATTTAGTTTATTTCTTACACTCCATGCATTTATATATAGTGCTCTTACTTGGGCCATACATTCTAACCTGTCCCTCAGCACTTATTCACCCATTTATTATCTCTCTCTTCTGGTTTAATCAACACACTTCTTAATAGTTTTGCCATTACATGCCATACCTGAAATAGGATTCTTGACTGTTTCTTTACTCTCTGTCCTGTTACTTGTTTTGAAACTGTATTGACTTCCCTGAGCCATCCCATACCCTCCCAGTTATGAGTTTGAAGTACTTGTGACCATCCTATTTAGCCTTTCTGCTGGGACATTGGACCCAGATTGGTTCGGGTGGAGCTGTCCCAATGTTAAGTTCCTTCCTTTCACAATACTGATGCTAGTGCTTCAAGAAATGAAACCCCTCTTTCCCGCACCATTCCTTTAATGTTTACTTCCCTAATTTTCTTATCCTGATTTCGATTTGCACATGGTTAGGGTAATAATCCAGAGACTATACACCTTGAGGTCTTGTTATTTCATTTTGTTCCTAATTCCTGATAGCCCCCGCAAAGAGGGGTCCAAAACAGACCACAATAACTGGATTCTTCTCCTCTCACGCCAATATCCTTTCAAGCCAGTTTGAGATGTCCCTCACCTTGGCATTAGGTAGGCACACAACATAAGAAGTAGGAGCAGAAGCAGGCTATTTGGCCTATCAAGCCTGCTCCGCTATTCAGTAAAATGATAGCTGATTTGATTGCGGTCTTAACTCCACATCCCTACCAACCTTCATAACCCTTGATTCCTTTGACAATCAAAAAGCTAGCTAACCAACCTTGAACATACTTTATGAACTCTGCCTCCATGCTCACTAGGAAAGAGAATTCCCAACATGAATTACCAGAGGAGAAATTCCTCATCATTTTGATTTTAAATGAGAGACTCCTAAACATAAGGTTTTCTGTCCCATCTATTCAATCCTGATTTTAGGAAGCAGATGAACAGGGTCTCGTATCTTTCCCATATAGGGATTTGCTAGGCAATCTGTCAACCAAATTGACGACTTCCTGTTTCTAGTAAGAATCATATGCAATAGCCTGTGAATGAAATCGTTCTCACTAAACTGCATGTGAAGATTTGCTAACCATCTGAGATGGGATAACACATTGTTCAATGAAGTCGGTCATTGTATAGATCTCTTGAATGCCTGACTCATTAACACTTGAAGCTATGTTTCAACTCAGTGATTTTTGGCTTTCCTGACCAGTGCAAATTCACAAAGTTATGTTTTAAACACAATGTTAAAACCATTGTAATTCTAAATGTATTCTGTGGAAAAACAATCCAAAATCCCGAAGCATGATATACAAGTTAATACCCAAGGGCATACCACAGCTACAAATACATGCTCTATGCAAAATACAAATTCACCATTTGTAACTTTGTGCTTTGCTTCTAAAGTCTGATTATTTGTTTTCTCCAGTAGCCACCAGAAAAAACATAGGATTGGTCTTTTGTATTTCCAAATTGCTATTAAGTGCATATCTTTTATTTATTTCTTTCTTGGAGGTTTTCAATGCCCGTGCAGAAGTGATCACACCCAGGGCCCCAAGGATACAGGATTAAGAAAGCCAACAAAACTTGGAAATGACAGATTGAGAATATAATAGATTAATAGAATAAATCTCAAGTCTAAAATAATCTTACAAAGCAAGGTCCAAATACTTCCTCCAAAGTATTAAAAGGGAAAAACAGAATCCAAAGGAGGAAAAAAAAGCCGCATATTGAAAGCACATAATAGGCTATATGCAACATAGATATCAGAAAATTTCATGTGGCACAGTCCATCTGCAATGCCATGGTGGCATTTCGATGTGTTCAGCATTTTACCTGCTCAGAATCCATTAAACTGACCTTCCTTCTCAAACATTAAAAGAAGAATGAAAAAAAAAAGTTGTTTGCATGGATAATATACATAGATCAATCTTTTCTATGCAAAGAGTTCCCTGCAAATATTAAGATTGTCAATGTAAATGTAAATGTTCATACAATTCTGAGATTCTCCTCATGTTAATTTTCCAAAGTTCGACTCAGCTATTCACAGCACAACAACACTGCTGTTTTAAAAATAATTCAAAAACAGAAACATGTGCTAAGCAAACACAAAACTGTAGTAACGGATGGACATAAATGTACTGACTTCACAAACTCAAAGGGATGTGTTTTAGAGATGGAGCAGATTTGTTTGAAAACCTCTGGTGTAGAATGAAGATGATGTAGTGAAGTATTGAAGTTGATTTAGAACTAGAAATAAATAGTATTAGAAGCAATATTGTTTCATAATCAATTTATTCTACTTTATATCTGGGGCTAACTTGAAAAGGTATTATTTTCTTCATTCTTTCATATGAAGATGAAAGTCTTGTTCAGGGTTAAGCAACTGGAAATTGAGGCATAGCAACACTAATTGTTGGTGTAAAAATAATGGCAATGACCTAGCAACCTAAAACATACGTAATACAGATAGATGAAAAACAGTCTGCAAAAAAAAAAGTCTTGTATTTGCTTTCAGAAAATACAGAGAATAACATGTTAAATTTCTTAAATATCTTAAGATAGAACACTAACACTTTTCTTCCATGTAGTTAAATTATACACTTGCAGTATATCAATTAACTGTCCCATTATATATATTTCACAAAATACTTACGTAAAAAATGTTTTTCTAACAATGCGATTTCAAGATGTCCCTTGATTTCATTCAGTCGATCAGATTCTGTCCTGTTAAAATCTTGAATTCCTGAAGCCATATTTGATACCCCCGGGCCTGCCTGAAACAAAAATGAAAAGAAATCTCCAAAATCAGCATGGGTGAAATCCGTCAGAAACTGCACAGTACGAGACTGCAATTCAACTAGATGAATGCTGCGACCAAACAAGTTTTGCTGATACAGCTGAATGCACAGAAGAGAATACTTTAATCTGCTGAGTTTTATTAAAGTGAATCAGTAATATCCAAACAATTGTTCAATAATACATATTCTTTGACTTCTCCAACAAAACCAGAAAACAAATTCATCCAGAACTCCAGTCATGTCTATAACACTGATGCTGCACATGTTTAGTAAAATTATGTTTGACTTTATATAATGATAGCTCACCATTAAATCCATTTATGGAACTTGATTTGCAAAATACCAAGTGCTTCAAGTAACAGTTCAATAACATAGAATGAACTGAACTACTCTGAATTGCTGCAGCAAGGATCTTTATTTTTCTTCATTCTCCATGTTAAAGTATCCATTATCTGAGGGTGTGACGTTGCGTAAAATGATGTACTTCCTATGCCTTAGGTTCAATCAGAAAAATGTGAAAAGGTCTGCAACATTTCTGCTTTTATGGTACAAATAATAACATTTGCGTCATACAAGTGTCAGGCAATGCCCATTTCCAACAAGACAGAATCAGCACTCCTTGACACTGAATGGTATTAGCATCACTGAATCTCCCATTATCAACATGCTCAGAGTTAGCCGTGATCATGAATTGAGTTGGACCAGCCATATAAATAATGTATTTCCAAGAGCAGGTCAGAGGTGAGAAATTCCACAGTGAGTATCTCACCTCCTGTCTCCCCAGTGCCTGTCCACCATCTACAAAGCACAAGTCACAGTGTGATGGAATACTCTCTATTCGCTTGGATGAGCACACCTTCAACACCACTGAAGAAACCTGACATCATCCAAGACAAAGCAACTCACTTGACTGGCCTCCCAAACACCAGCTTCAACAACCACTCCCTTCAATACCAATGCGTAATCGTAGCAGTGTATACCATCTGTGGAGATGTCGCGCAGGAACTCACCAATGGTCCATCAACAGCACAGTTCAAACCCTATTACCTACTACCTAGAAGGACAATAGCATAGATACATGCAAGTTCCCTCCAAACCACTCACTATTCTGACTTGGAACTATATCACCATTCTTTCATGGTCATTGGCTCAAAATCCTGGAACATCTGAACAACACAAAGGCTCTGTCCCTATATCCTATGGAATGCAGAAATTCAAGAAGGTAGTTCAACACCACCTTCTCCAGGGCAATAAATTCTGGCCTCGTCAGCATCACTCAGATTTTGAGAACAGAAAGAAGAAATTCCTTCATCCCAGAAATAAATCCAATAAACTTGCACGAGTCAAGAACGTCCTTCCCAAGAGAAGGAAATTACATAAGTAAACTTAATGCGATCTTACCAGAGTCTTATATAATTGTAGGAATGTTTTCTCTGTACTCCAGTTCCCTTGCAACAAAAGACCAGCATGCAGCTTTTAGCCTATAACACCTGCTTGCAAACTTATTGTGTTTCTTGTGTGAGGACACAGTGATTCCTCCAAACAACATTTAAACACTTCTCAACAGTTAAAAATACTCTTTTCCTATTCTTCCTACCAAAATAAATAAGCTCATATTTTGGTCCATCTGTCAACATGCTCACTCACTTGTTCTTATACTTTTGCAGATCGAAGTGATTCTATAGTATTATTCCTCTACTGATATTCACTCTTTCCAGTTCCTTGCTCTCATGTCTTTGGTTCCCACTTTATTCTTAAGCATTTGATATCTTCATCTGTGAAAACTGATGAAAATTATTTGCTTCATATCTCTGCCATTTCTTTATATGCAATTATAATTTCTTCCATCTCAACTGATAAAAGGGACAAAGGCTTACTTCTGCTATTGTCTTCCTTTTCACACACTGGTAGAAGCTCTTTCAATCTGATTTCATATTTCTTATTAGCTAATTCTTACATTCTACCTTTTCCTTCAATTTTTTGATTGTCGTTTAGCTCCACTTCTGACAATTTCAGAGAGAGGAGAGTGAAATAGAGCTAGGTCCTGGCCTCCACTTTGCTTGATGTCTTTTTCTCCATGATCCTGACCTTCACCTTCCCCAGAGATATGGAAGAGGTATATTTGCACACGAGGTCAGACAGCAAGCTCCACAATCTTTCAAGACCAGAGTGAAAACAAAAGACATAACGTGCCCTGATCAGAGAACTCCTCCAAGCTGATGACACTGCAATAGCCGCTCACACAGAAACTCAACCACAAAGACTTGTGGACTGTCTCTCCCACACCAGTAACACATTTTTCCAAACTAGAAAATATCGATACAACTGCAGTCATGAAATTGTGTGTTACATCTTCACTGCTGATCACACAAAATAATACCATAGTGGAAGTGATTTGCGACGTCTGCCACCTTAATTCACAGGTTCACAGCGGCAGACAATCTGTACCTTGACGTAGTACCTGAATGAAGAAATAAGTTCCCCCTCAGTCAATTCATAAAACCTGTATCAGATAACACCAAGCTGATAGTTTGTAAAGCCCATATTCTCAGCACCTTTTTGAATGGCTGTGCAACATGGGTAATTAACAGCTACTTGAATAAAGCTCAACAATATCCATTTTCATATCTGCAGTATGGGTATATCCTGGCAGGACAAAATCATGAATGCTGCAGCTCTCTTAAAGGCAAAGTTCCCAAATGTGCTGATACTAACCAGTAGATCGGACGCATCTGCAAGGTGAAAGAGAGTTGCAAACAAAGGACTTTCTGTATGGTGAGGAAGCTGGAGCCAGACCATCTATGGGGTGCCCAAGGCTCCACTGCAAGCAAGGCATGGGGGTATTTTCTAACCAACTGTTCAGAGATGTCACACATACATCAGGAGCAGGTGCACCACAGGAAACTTGAAACGAGCAAGACGCGAGATATTTTTAATCAACCTGTTCAGAGATATTATCACACATTTATGGAGCAGGTAGGACTTAAACCCGGGCCTCCTGGCTCAAAGGAAGGGACACAACCACTGTGCCTCAAGAGATCCCAAAATACACTTTTTGAAATCATGATCCAGTCAACAAACCGCTCTGGATGACTGACAGGATTCGAACCTGGACTCCCAAAACATTATTTGGTCTCTGGATTAATAGGCTGGTCATAATACTGGGCTATCACGTTCCACAAGAAAGACATGATATTTTTTTCCAAATCAACCTGTGCAGAGATGCTATTAAACACGTCTGGAGCAGGTTAGATGTGAACCCAGGCTCCTGACTCAGAAGTAGGGGTGCTACCATTGCACCACAAAAGCCTACAAGTAAAACACGAAGAACCTAAACATAAACTCTTGCATCTTGCAGTCATTAGCTGGCAAAAAGAGGAAGTAGTGACACCTCGTGTAAGCTGGGAACACCCACAATGACAAGTGGTTACAGCAGTATGACAGCAGGCAACAATGCTGAAAAGCAACATCCCATAATATCAATTGACAGTTTCATGTATCGCACTTGCAGCAAACCTGCCTCCGAAGACTGCTCTTCCAAGACATCAGCAAAGGCGCACCAAATTAAGATACTTCAATCTAAATAACTATTTGCTGCATGTCCATCATCCCTTGCAGATGGAAGGATGTTAACCCAGGATTCAATGTATTTCTAAATTTCCCCCTACGTAGCCCTTCTTCATTTAAAATTGCCATCTACAACTTTAGTCATTCAACTCATCAGGACACTGCTCCCTTCCCTGTTTACGTGCAGTCCATCCAAACTAGCAACTGAGCCCCGTGGATTCAAATCATGTCTATCCCCTCCCCTCTTTCAGTCAAATATTCAACTCACTGCTCGATTTGCCCCGATGCTGGGATATTGTCAGGGCCCATAGGCTTTGCAGCAACCAATGCCTTCAGCCATTTCTTTTTATCCTTTTCACTGTATCCAGTTTGCTGAAGACTGGCATCCATAATTCTGGGGATCTCAGGAGGAGGTTGAGATGTATCATTTACTCAGTATTTCTGACTGAAGGTGGTTGCAAATATTTTAGCCTTGCCTTGTGCACTGACACTGGGCTCCCACATTAAGGATGTGCTTCATTTTTCTCTCTTACCATTTTAAAAACTTAGTATAGACACGAAGGCAACCTACAAGTTTCACTACTTGATGGAATGTAATCTAATTATCAGTAATTACAGTAACTGTTAATTATCAGGGTTGGAGTTTATCTGCAAAAAGTGTAAGACCACCACTATAGAAAGAGAACCAAGAGTTTGGCAGAACTGAAGCCAGAACATTAAACATAAAATCAATGACGTCAGTGTAGGTCAGCAAGCACGAAGTGATGGGGGAACTGGATTTCCTCCTAGTCAGGACATGGGCAAATTAATTTTGGATGACTCCAAGTTTACAGATGGTCAAATGTGGGAGATCAGCCAGAACTATACTGAAATAGTCAAATCTGGGGCAAGAATCAAGGCAAGAATGAGGGTTTCTACAGCTGATGAGCTGAGACTTGAGAAAGTTAGGCAATGTTACAAAGGCAGAAATAGGTTGTCTTAGTGATGGAATGAATATAAAGTTGTCAGTTGTTTCTTTTGACATATTTTCTAATTATTTCTTGGTCTTTGCTTTTTACATTCAATTGTAAATTGCTGCTGCTTAGTTTGAACCAATCAGCTAGGTGTTAAAGTAAAAATATGAATGCGAAACAAACATTAACAAACGTTGGATAAGTTTATATTAACTAGTTCAAAAGAATCTTAATATACTACAAAGCTATTTACATTTGTAGAGTATAGTGCACTGTGTTCTACAAGACCAATTACAAACTACCCTTCAGCCAAACTACCACTACAGACTTGTTGCATTGAATATTTTGTTATGTCTCTTTGGGAGGAGTACAGTCCATCATTAGGCTAATTATAAAGCATGAATTGTAATGAACAAATCTCGCCTACACAACCACACTTCAAGTAAATTCCAGGAA